AAACCTATCAATCAAAAAAAAAAAAAAAAAAGCATGGGACAAAGATGAAATAAACTGTATTTTTTAAATATTTATTTTACTTTATTTACTAATGGTACAAAACCCCCCTTTTTTCCCACACCCCAGTGGATTATCTTGTGCACTCCCTGGCTTGCGTGCACTCAGCTTTAGAGACCACTGCTCTAAACCATATATGACAGAGCCATCAGAAATGGCAATTACAAGCGTAGTATTCCTTAAATAACATACCAGGTGAGTGACAGGGCATTTTTTTGTCTGTGTCTGTCCTGCTGCTGGTCCAGGTCTAGCCCCAGCATGCCGTGGCCCAGCCTTCTTTCTGCCACCTCACAGGGAAGCTCTGACAGTTGCAGGGAAGGACACTTCGGGTGTCATGACATTAGGTGAGGAGAGAAAAGTCTTGATGATTAGGAAAGAACTAATTAAAATAAAACACGTTTCAATGGAAAGGGAGTCATCAGCTGCTCAAAACAGAGCATTATTGGCCTGATTTTTACATATTCCAGACATGCACAAAATTCAATAAGCTCCATGGAAGATGCGAGTGCTTTTCAGAGAATCATGGCTCTGTGGAGGGTATATCTGTTTGCTCTAAAATGCCTGCTAGCCCAGCAGCTGCTATTTTGAATGTTAACACTGATAAATGAAATATTAAAAACTGATTAAATGACTGCTGTGAATTAGATGCTCCTGGCTGTTTTGGTGTCCTAGAAGATGGAAAATATGAGCTGCCTCACAGAAGGTATATTTATGTATTTTTGCGTCAGTTCTTATGGTGCAAGCAAGAATCTCTGAACCTGAATGGCTGAAGACCGATAAACTAGGTATGTTAAGCTGTCTGAACAGTGGGCTTTTGTTTGAAAGAGATTTTTTATTGTCATCTCTGAAATGAAAGTAATCTATTTTAAGGTCCTCACAGACACATTTAGGAACATTATGAGGAACATTATGACAGTTTGGCCATAAGCTATATTGTACCACTGCTATAATTCCTGGAAAATTAATATATTTAAATCTTCTTAGTTTTTGATGGTGAATCTGTGAAGCACTACAGGATCAGAAAGCTGGATGAAGGAGGCTTTTTCCTAACCAGAAGGAAAACTTTTAAAACTCTGAATGAGTTTGTTGACTATTACAGTAAAAACAGTGATGGCCTCTGTGTGGTGCTTGGAAAGCCATGCCTAAAGGTAAGAGTGGATGCTACCTTGTGCAAAGTATGTTTTGTAAGCTAACTCATCAGATATCAGTCAGAAGGTGTTAAGCCCATATCTGTTTCTACCATTTCAAAATGGTGATGATCTGCTTATTTTCAGGAAGTTCTGGGTAGTGCTACGTTTCATTATTGAAGCTGACATGTTGATAATAAAATACCATGCCATGTTGAACAAATCATTGTGTGGCTGGAGGAGAAAATATGCCAAATCATAATTTATGAATACCTTTTTGTAAATGTATATGGAGATGAAATCTCCAACTTCATAACTCTAGCTGTCCATAAGTAATTACTGAGACAAAGCCACAAGGTTCAGGCAAGCAATACGTCATTGTTCAAAAAGCTTGCTAGAGGGATGATTTCTAATTTTTAATTTTAATGGCAGAATATTTTCTTTAGAGTATTTCTTATTTCTAACAAAAAGTATGCAGGATGTGGGCTGTATTTTATGTTCTCAGCTTACTTTATCACGTGTGTGTGCTCTAAGGAAACATTATTTATATCAGTTGTGACTTTACATGACATAGTTAACAATGACTTGTATATGCTGTTGAAAAAATACTAGAAGTCTCAATTACTGTATTATTTATTTTCTTTTACCAGGTACAAATTCCTACTACTTTTGATTTATCATATAAAACTGTCGATCAGTGGGAGATAGACCGACGATCTCTGAAATTGTTGAAAAAATTAGGATCTGGTCAGTTTGGTGAGGTATGGGAAGGACTGTGGAATAACACCACCCCCGTGGCAATCAAAACATTAAAACCAGGTATGTATGTGAATTGCCCTTAAACATTAATAATGTGAAATGTTAGCAAGGGTGCTCCTTAGTTTTTAAATGCTATTGAAAAGAGAACCTATCCGTATATGTAACCATTCTTAAAATCCATGCACTTAAACATGAAGGTTAGTAAAGCTCAAGGTCCAGATATTCTTTGGTATTTCTGTTTCCGTATGAGCTGAACTCCTTCTTATTTAGCATCAATATTACTTAAAAAGGCAGCCTCAGCAAGGCTATCTCTTTTGGTGCAATATTGTTTGTATGGAATTGAATGACTACATTTCATCTGTAGGTGAAGTAACTGATTTACTACTGGTTTGTCATTTGTAGAATTTCTTCCAGTGATTAGATACTACATTATAATGATTCCTTTAGTAATATAGAATACGTAGCATGTTAAGTTTGTATTTAAGAAGTGCTTTAATCTGAATATCTGAAAGGTTTTGATACACAACATTAATACCCAATATTTACATATAATATAAGCTTGTTACTAATACAGCTTTTAACATTTTTCTTAAATATTTTTCCTTAACTTCAAGTAATTTGTGCATTTTAAATTGATAACATAAAATATCTGCCAGCAGATGGCAAGAATCACATAGATAAGAAAGGTATCTCGAATGATATACTTGTTTTTTTTAAAAAAATAACAATATCATAAGTTGTCGTTAATTGAAAAAGCTTGTGTTGGGCATTAATTATCATGTTTCAGGAGCAGAACATATTCAGATCTTTGATTCAGAAGAACAACTAAAGATTCTTGAGCTGCTTGAATGGTCTCCTGAACAGGGAGGAATTTAAGCATGTGTTGTAGGGCTATCTTGTATCAGGAGATTTGTTTTGAGACTTGCAAATTGAAAGAAAAGAACCATTTTTCTCTGCTTAACTAAAATTAGAAAAACTGCTCAGACTAAAGACCTTCTATAATACATGTGAAAGACAGCGCACTTTTTTCAGTGAACTGATGTATCACCTTAGTGACTGAGTAAACACAGAAACCATCTTGAAATCTCTTTGTCCATTTCTCTCTCGTAAGACAGTATCCACTAAGCCTATACGTTTTGTGGTGGGGATCTATATCCTTATTTTTATTGACTTCTGAAACTGCAAGTCTGAAGCTAGTCTTTTTCTCCTTGTGTCTGGCCTGAATCTTTCATTCTGCAGTGCAAACCCATTACCTCTTGCCTTATACACCATGACTAAAGAGTACCTATCATCCTCTTCCTCTTTACGGTGGTCTTGTACATACTAGAAAACTATTATCAAATTCCTCTTCAGTCTTCTCTTCTTTAGGTTAAACAGCTCAACCAGATTCTTTTGTAGCTCAGATGTTTTAGATGTTGCATTGTTTTCAGATCTTTACTGGGCTGTTTCTAGGTGATCACCGTATTTTTTTCCAAATATGATGCTACAAGGAAGAACAAGTCTAGATATGTAAAGAGACAGATTTGCTTCGTGTTTCTAATGTGCTAGACCTCTGCTTAAACAGTCCAGTATGATGTTTGCCTTTCTTCTCCATACAACAAGAACCTAACATTTCCATGTGAGTTCACTTTCCTTTAGTGTTTTAATGCAACATCTGGACAAGTCTGTTCTATTGCAGAAGACTGAAGAGTTCTTCCTAAAGTATGAAATCTTTTAAACAATATTTAAAGAAGGAGACTAATGAAGCTGAAATGAAGACGACGACTATGCTATCTTAAATTTTTGTGACATTAAATTTTCTTTTAGAAATTGTCTTTTCTTTCCTCTTTAAGAAAATATGTGGTAATTAGCACTCTAGGAAAAGATTTGTTTCTCATCAAACAAAATAATTAGATTTTGAACAAATGGCAGTGCATGCATTTCTACTTATTTTCTTTAGTGGGAAAGTGGATCTGACATTTATCTTGTATTGCATATGCAAAAATGGGAAGCTATCTTAATCATATTTCATCTTCTCTTAATAACTCATTTCAAAAGTCTAATTCAGCTTTTCTTTCTGTTTGATGGGGACAGTACATATTATCAGTTCTCTGTGAAACAAACTTCTATTTTAATAATGTATTCAGTTAGAACTGACAAGACTACTCAGAAATACATGAAACACTAGTGGAAAGTTCCACCTGCAATTTGCTTTCCTTTTTTTTTTTTTCTTTTCTTTTTTACTATTTTTGTGACTGATCAGCTGAATGACTGCTACTAATACTCTACCTGAAGAGAAGGAAGAGTTAGTTAATTTTATATCTGAAACAGATTTTAATGTGTTTAAGGCCAAACAGATCTGTGGAGATCTGTTCTTTGACTGTTCAATTCATTGTCCTTTAAATGTTTGGCTGATAAAGCACACAGAGAATGCAATACTTCTAGAGAGACATAAGCAGGAGAAGAAGTTGTTCTTTTTTTGTTTCTATAATGATAGAGTGTCCTAAGAATGCACTTACAGAAGACTATAAAACAATAAAAAATGATCACATAAACTTCTTCAGTAGGTTTGTTAGCTAAAAATTAAACTTTACACTGGAATAAACATAATATTCACTGCAAACTTGTTATATATATATACAGACTAGCACAGTACAGAAGAAGCAACCCCTTCAACTGTGATAATTTTTGTAGTATCGTGGTTCGGCTGGGAAAAAGGGCTTGGTTAATCAATACTTTTTCCATCTCTCTCTTTTTCACTGCAGTCTGCCTCCTGTTAAGGTCAACAGTAGTAGTCTCATTGATTTCATGGTGTGTTATATTGAGTTAGGGCAGACACAAGCCCCACCTTGATGTGATGTTTGGGTAGCAGAGAGTTTGTGATCTAATACCGTGATAAGGAAGCCATGCATTGCACTTAGTGATGCTCAGAATGAAGGCTTTGATTCTCAAAGCCATCTTGATAAATTAGATAGGTAATACTGAATCTTTTATCACTGCACTTTGTGAACTATCTCATTCTACAAAAACAGTTCAGACAGTCTCAAATGGAAGTATTTAACCTTGTAGTATTTTTCTCTAGGGAATTATCCTCTTCTACCCAATGTTTTTCACCACTTAGAATGCCTTACTGTAATCAGTTAACACATTGGTTTTCCATAGCTTGTTCTCATTGTTACTCAAGAGGAATAACATTTCAATAATTAAAGAAAACCCCCAATATCCTCACCCTAATCTGAGTAATAAATGGTTAGCTTGGTACTAATAAAATTATAGCAAAGGCTAGGTCTGATAATGTCATTCATCGTAATATAAAGATGATAAGTGAATGGAAAAAGATCAAGAAATGCATCATGTTATATGTTGATGAGTGAAGCTTCCAATAGTCACGTAGGCAATATTTCAGACTTCAAGTGTGACACTTTGTAAAACGATCCTCTCCTGTTGCTTGGATCAAAGTTCTAAATCAATTGTCTTTACTTTGGGGTAGGCAGGATGTATTTTAAAGCAAAGTCTTTTTGCTAAGCTGCTTTACAGTGTAGACTGACTGGAAAAGAACGTCATCAGAACTTTAAGTGATAAGATAAACTGTAAGTGATCTGGCAAATATAAGGGATTGAGATAGAGAGGGTTCTGTTAAAATGGCTTTACTGCAGAGAAATTGTGACATGGAACCATGCTCTCTCATTTCCAAGCAGGAGCAGGTTAATCAAGTAAGGTAATCATGTAGCAAACAATATAGAAGAGTGTAACGCAATCACTGTGTCATAGATTTATAGGTCTGAAGGCCAGAAGAGATTTCTGCTAGTTTGAGGTTTTCCACTGAGCATTATTTTGCAATGTACATCTGTCCTAGATCATGTATTGTCTGAAAACTTTGCTGTTATACGCCATTACATTTCACCTCTCTGCTGAGATAGAGTATTTATATTTAATCAAACACAGCTTGTTCTTGACTAGATAATAACTCGAAGTCTTCTAGTCCTGAAATGGAGGCACAGAGAGAAGTTGCTTCTGCTATCTTTGACAGTTTGTATCAACGGTATATCACTATGCCTGTAAGAATGTGGGCCTAATTTCTTATCTGGATTTACCTGATGTCTTCTCTTTATCTCTTGTTAGGTCTTCTCGTAATAAAATAGAAGCCTCCTCATATACATTGTATTTTCTTTCTGTTCTGGAGGTACATACAGAGCAAATTAAACCAATTTTCAAATGTCTTTAGAAAGGCTAAATATAGTTTCTTGTTTTATGGTACTCATTTCTCAGATAGGTTTTCTGGACTTGCGCTAATTTCTAGCTATTGCTGCTAAAAGGCTTAAAATGATAGTGTTTAGGCAGATGACCTTCCAACAAGTAGGAAAAATTAAACTCCCAGAATTCGGGTGAGATGGCAGTGATGGACTTTTCCCAGAGCCAGTTCTTACTTGATGCAAACGTGTGATTCCTGACTTGTGAGTAATTGGGGTATTCAGAAATCTGCTTCCATTCCAACTTGGAGCAAGAGCCAATTTTTCAGATATTGCACACAAACTGGGAATTTCATGAGTGTTTCTTTCAGAAACATTGATGCATAGCATACTAGCTACATTTTTCCTATTTTTAGGCATCTGACATCTTAGATGTATCAGTCATTTCAATAATTAGTGGGAAGAAATAAGCACTTACATGTCAGATAAATCATACTATAGATTAGAAATGTACATTACGATGAGAGAATAACATGCTACTAAAGCATGCTTCTTTCCCTTGATTGTAAAGTCTGGACAACTAACTCAGGTTTAGGTGCCTGAATAATTGCTTAGAGTTGGAGGAGGTGAATCCAGCTACCAGCAGTGTTCTGTAATTCCACAGACTTTACAACAGCAACAAAACTGGGGAAAATGTCAAGCTGGTGGAGCCTCTGAGATCTTAAACTGGTCAGCCTGAGCGCCCTCTGACCAAGAACTGCAGAGGGACTGGGGTTCCTCAGGAGGCTATGAGAAATGTCTATCTTCTGATGAACCTGGTAGGGTGTCATTTCACCTCCTGCCTTTATGATTATGGAGTATCTAGTTTAATCAGCTTCACAGTTTGGGGTT